TATCTCCAGGTCTTAGGTCAGTCAAATTCCCTGCACTTTTTCCCTGTAAAAGTCAAATACTGTGCATGTTTAATGTCACATGAGAGGTTTGTCTCCACTCATTCTTGAGTTTGTAGGGATTGCTTGACACAATTGAATTTATTTTTTTAATTTAATTTTAAGGTTTTTGCCATAGGATAGGTGTTGTCATCAGAAAGATAGAGACAGAGAGAGGGAAAGTGAGAAATCACCCTCTGGAGGAATGACTGAGACACAATCTTTTCTCCTTCATTCTCCTCTTGGGATTTTGGGCAGGTACACATACAAGCTGGGAGTGATTTTCAAGCCGCTGGGTTTGGGACTTAAACTGTGGTTGGCCATTTGAGAATCGAGCACCTAAACTACCATACCATCTGCCGGCCCTGACACAAATGCATTTTTAATGTTCATGGGTCTTTGGTTTTGCTATCTTTGTTTCTATGCAGGGATTAAGAGAGATTAAAAAACTATGCTACTATAGCTCAATCTTCAAAGAGATTTTGTTTTTTAAATAAAAGAAATTCACAGTTGTATTCTTAAACCAGAAAGTTATTTTAGTACATTGGACATATGGTTTGCTTTACAAAGATTGTAATTATATATAACCAGTAGGAAATCCATCTATTATTATAAAGTTGCATATAGCTAAATTGTTACATAGATTCATGCCGAATGCAAACCTGAAAACCGTGAACTTAACTGGATGGATGTTTGATCTCAGAAAAAAATCACTTCACTTCTTAGTGTTTCCTTGTCTTCATTTATAAAATGAAAGGTCTAGTTTAGATATGATTGTAAGATATTTTCTGAGTTCTTATTAGCAGTTGCTAGTATTAAATATTAGTATTAATTAATAATATTACCATTAATTTGAGTTTGTATTAAAAATGGAAATAGAAAGACCCAGAACAAACCTTTTCTTGAAATAAACAAGTAAGCTGATCCATTAAAATCGGTGCAGAGGCAGTTACTGAGCTGTGATCAACTTCTAGACTTGTAGCCGTTTTTCTCTTTTAAGGAACAAAACCACCTGAATTATTTTTAGGTCTTCCTTGCTCACTGGTTGACTTTAGGTTAATAGTCTTTTCCCAGATACCAGGACCTCTGCTGAGTTAGAGAGTACCTGCTATGCTTGGGAACCCAAGCTAACAGTTACATGTTTACTAAGAACGAGTGTTATGTACAGAGCTCAGTGCAACCTTACCAACCCTAAAGACTAGAAGAGTAGTTCTCAGGACCAGCAGTTAGCATAATGGCTGTGTCGCTGGACTCCCATGTAGCTGACTGCGGTTCGAGTCCTGGACCTGGTGGCTTAAACTCATGCCGGGCACGTGTGCGTGCGTGCCCAAGATCCTGAGAGGAGAATGGAGGAGAAGAGATTGCGACGTGGCCATCCCCCTGGGGGGTGATTTCTCGCTTTCTGTCTCTCTCTGTCTGGCGAGTGCACGCGCCCTATAGCAAAAACCTCTCCAAAAAAAAAAAAAAAAAAGAAGAGTAGTTCTCATTGGCTGTTTAATAGAAGTACCTGGTGGCTTTTAAACATACTGATGATTTGATACTTAGACCAATTGAATCAAAATATTAAGTTGTTGGGAAGGTCATGATGTATGTTTCTGTTTTTCTATGCAATAATGTGTCATGACTTTCCCAACAACCCAGTGTATGCGAGAGTCTCAGGTATGGGCACTTCAAAGAAAATCCTAGGAGATTTTAGGAGTATAGAGAACTACTAGGGAGGACGGCTTGTGTAATGCCCAAATGTTTGAACATTCTTCAGCACTAAGCTGGACCAACCCCTCAGAATGTAAGAACGTGCATTTCATGAGGGCAAAATCATGTCTACCTAATTTTCTACTGCACTTCCAGTGTTCAACATAGTACCAGGAACATGGTAGGTGTTTCATAAATATTGTTGAATGAATAAAGGAATGAATGAAAACTTTAAATATTTCACATTTAATTTTTCTTGACAACATCCACAAGACACTCTAATACACCAAGTCATTTTTCCCCCTGGTTTCTTTCTTTCATGAGAGAGAGAGAGAGAGAGAGAAAGAGAAGAAAGAGAAAAAGAGTCACCCATCAGAGAAGCTGATGACGTGATCTTCCCTCCAGCCTGTCCCTGACAGTAAAGGTCACAGGTATGCATATGCATTTGGAGTGGACAAGTCTACCCAGGAACCAAATCCTGATCCTCCACATGGCTTTCAGCATAGCAGAGCTTTGTGTTACCACTGTGCCATAATAGCTGAGCCTACACCAGCTCTTTTGTAAGTCTTGTCTTTTTGTCTTATTCAAAATGTCAAGGGGGCCGGCAGGTGTGGTGATGAAGGCACTGGACTCCCACATGGCTGACCATGGTTCCAGTCCTGGACTTGGAGGCTTGCTTTCTCTCTTCCTGGCTCTCTGTCTCTCGGTCAAACTGAATAAAAATAATAAATAAAATTAAATAAATAATTTTTAAAAAGTAAAACAAAACAATGGGACCAGCAGTTAGTGTAATGGCTATGTTGCTGAACTCCCATGTAGCTGACTGTAGTTCAAGTCCTGGACCCAGTGGCTTAAACTCATGCCAGGTGCATGTGCGTGCATGCCCAAGATCCTGAGAGGAGAATGGAGGAGAAGGGATTGTGGTGTGGCCATCCCCCCTGAGGGGTGATTTCTCGCTTTCTGTCTCTCTGCCTCTCTCTGTCTTTCTGACGAGCGCACACGCCCTATAGCAAAATCCTTTCCAAAATAAATAAATAAATAAAAATAAAACAGAAGCACTTATCTGAGATGTTCCCAAACCCAGTGGCTTAGTGAGCTCCACCTGTTGATGTTTCAGACATGGGTTGGGCTTTCCCAGCTCCCTTTTTTTGAGAATATAGGAAAATGTACAATTAATAGCCCTATGAAATCTGTCATTTGAAAGCTATTTTGACTTTCCTCCATTGAACAAGAGCAAGGACTGTCAGCCCTTTATTATCCGCACCCCTTTCCCCTGAAATAAAGGTCTTCATAGTCTGCCCTAGTATCTGTGAAGATGGAGGAAGGGAAAGGAAGCAGATGGCTAGGTTTGTTGACATGTTCTGACTCCAGCTTTTCAATATAACCTTTTTATTTTCTGCCTTTTTATTGGGAGATCTGATACATACCAAGTGCACATATTTTGCCATTGCCTTTTACAGTTTAAATATGCAGAATCAAGTCACATGGGTAACTTAAAGTGAGTGAGTGTCACCATGTTGAGACGGCCTGGGAAGAAGGGAGTAGAGCGAGCGCTGTCTGTAAGTGCCCCACTCTATGGAGCCTCCCGTGTCTCTGTGCTGTCCCTGGGTGGCCTCTCCTTGGCTGCTTGAGTGGGAGAGCAGCGGGAGAGCAGTGTGTGAGCAGCGTGACCAGGAGTTTTTGGTTTCGCCTACTGAGCTCTTTGGCTTTTTGTCTGTAACCATCACATGAGTTGCTAAGTTGGGCCACAACTGTAATTGAGTGTTGAGGAACATTTTACTCAATGGTTTATCTACTCACGAAGAACTGCCCCCTTTCCCAGACCCTGGTGCTGAGTGAGTTTTCAGCAAACGCGTGAGCTCTATGAGCAGGGTGGAGCACCGCTGCAGAGCAGGAGAGAACGTCTCTGTCTCCGATTTCCAGCCCACAGCTGACTGGTCTCTTCCTGCCCCGGTGTGGGTCTAACTCAGCCAAAAGCATTTTAAGTGTTTTAAGACTGCCTTTGCTGTCTTCTCAAAGTATTTACTTAGAAAACTTTTTTCTTTTTTTTTTTTTTTAACTGGAGGATGTATTCTAGTCCTCTGAATACTGAGGTTGAGTTCAAGTTATTTGGTAGTATTTGTTTTACAGACCAAATATTGTTTAAAATAAATATTTTAAAGTGGAAATAAGTTTAGAATCAGCCAAGTCTGGGTTGAATTCCCCTTCCCCATTCTTCCTGAGACAGTAAATGGGGTTGTTGCCTCCCACATTTTAGGCTGTGCGACCTAAGACCTAGAACATAAATACCAGTTCCCTTTCCTGTGCACCATCACTCTGTGAGAGCACATTTTCTGTCACTGGAACTTGGTGGAATGCTCAGCTTTCCATGAAACTGAACCCACCTTACAGGCCATCTGGCAGGAGAAACAATGAAAAGATAAGGGACTTTCATTAGCTATGTTTACATAAGATGGAATCTGACATTTCGCCTGCTTTTGATACTTGCTATTCCTACTTCATTTATGTTAGTCATACTCTGTCTTCCTTCTCAGAGTTTTAGTGAAAGTCTGCCCTGAGTGTTCAGTTCTTGGCCTTTTAATAAGTGATCTGGACGAAGGCCTGCCTATAGCTGGGCTTTGTTGTTTTCTCCTCCGGCTCTATTTCATTGGGGCGTTTCGGAGGGGTGGCATGTGAGGACAAGAAGTGGAGGGGCCTTGACTCAAACATGATAGAGTGTGGAGATTTATTTTCTTCACCTTAATATAATAAACCCCCTCAGGGTCTGAGTTAGCATCATCATTTTTCCTTAGTCTGCTCTGTGAAGGCTGCCATCCCTATGTGGGGAGATTGATGCCTTCTTTACTCTAAATAATCGGGATGAAGGAATTCATCAGGGAGTCTTCAAAAACGTTCTGAGCTTGGAAGTTCTCTCCTGGGATTCGGAATGTAAGAGGCAGAGAACTCATAAGGTCTGAACATAAGAGACTCTGGGCCTGAAGAGAGAAAGCCAGTAAGCTTTGTAGTTGTCCCATATTGGGATAGACTAGCCAAATGACTGAATGTGCTCTGAGATCCTGAGCAATCAGAGATGAAGGCTATCATATTATTTTTGTTGTTTTTGCTGGGATGTATGGAGGCAAAGGAGAAGTGGGGAAATTGACCATAATGATTTGGCTGTGATCCAAGTAGCTCAGAACACCATGCCCATACAGTCCAAGGCTGTTCTTGGGCCTGGGATGGAGGTCACTCTTGTTAAGTCAGTGTGTTGAAGGTATGGCCTACCGAAGCTTTGGCAAAAAAGACTCTTGCGTTCTAGACAGCTGGGATGTTCATTTCAGAGCTGCCTGACTGTCTGGCCAAGGCTTCATTGGATCTTCCTTGACACTTCTCCCACTTCCCAATCCTGCTTCCACCCCCTTATTTTCTCAGGTGCTAAGCCCCGACAAATATCTTGCACCACAAATTCCATCTCAGTGCCAGCTTCTGAAGTGCCCAACCTTCAGCGACTTAGTCTCTAGCCCGCTTGTAGGTTAGTACAGTTCTGTGCTCAGATCTCCAAACTTTACTCTTGACATGTAAACAGTGTTAGATTTTAGAAAATGCTTCTCCCCCCCTTTAAGAAATTTGGGCTTTCAAAACCGTTGTCCTCTATGAGTAGAAGACATGAATTTGAAACTCCAAGTTGTGGAATGACTTCTTTGTTCTGTGTCTTCCCTTTT